GTGTCATTCACACAAACACCAAACACCACAATGGTAACACACATGAAACTGATATAATGTAATAAACATTAATTTAACAACATTAGGTGTAACACACAACCCTAATATACAAAACTGATAAGAAAAAACTAAGAAGAAAGTTATTTCAACAACAAAACATCAAATTTGAAATGTAACGCAGGGAATTCTGGGAATGTCAGTTTACGGTTATTCACTGTAAATTAAACGGTCTTTTTCACTAACAAAAACGGTATACTACCGTAAAATTAATGTCCAATACGTGTAATGTCCAATACAGTTTTTCACCGTATATAGTAGGGGAATTTACCGTTAACCATTTAACAGGTTTTTACTGTAGCATTTTTACAGTCTTTTACCGTTAAATTCACGGTAATTTTTTACAGTGTAGGGGAAAAGAGAGAATGACTAGTTGTTTTTCCTTATTAGAATTGTGAGATATAATCTCGGAACTGCGAGAATAAAGTCATAATTTTGAAATATAAAATCTAATTTACCTTTTTTTATTATTTTATTCCATGGCTTTTCTGCCTCCAGATAGGCTCCGCCCACAAATAACGTCATCCCTGTTTCGGATCTGTAAGTCTATCCCACTCTCTAACGTCAATTTCGTTGAATAACAGTGCTTATCGCTGGGTGACAAGCTCTTGTAATAAGTGTAGAACATTTTGAAAATGACATCAAATCAATATAATTTATAATCTTTTTAAACCTGAAATTCTCTAGCTGTAAAGGCTATCTCTCCTGGGTTTTCTGCAACCATGATGCGCGCACATCCTGAATGTTTACAAACCGATAATTGGTCTATAGACCTACTTTCTCCTCCTCTACTTAATAGGATTTATCAGCTTCAGTCTGTGAAACACAAACACACCTGCAGTCCTGAGCCCAGGCCTTCCATTAACACGGCTAATCAGAGACCTTTAGGGAGTGGATACACCTACAGATCTGTATAATTTGGTTCTCATGAAAACACGTCCAGGCCTCAATGTTCCTTAAAATCAAATAAAAAAACATGAGAAATTGTCTTTTGCATAAACATGAAGTTCATTTTTAAGAACATCAAAATTGCTTTGTGAACTTACTGGCATGATAATTATACACATTTGACCTAAATAATCAATGTATCCATTTTATTAGTATTTAGAATTAGAATCTCAATGATTTTTGTCAAAATATTTAAATCATCATAAATTAAATTACAAAAATTTAAGCACAAACAATACTATGAGGTACAAATGTGCAAATTATATATAAATAAATATATAAGTTTACTGTTCAAAAGTTTGGGGTTACTTTTTTTTAAATTGATCAAATGACAAATATTTTTTTAAATACTATGAAAAGATTTATATTATTGCAAATAAATGCTGGTCTTTTGAACTTTATTCATCAAAGAATCCTAAAAACAAACAAACAACAACAAAAAAAAACACGGTTTTCACAAAAACTATTAGGCAGCATTACCGTTTTCATCATTGATAATAATCAGAAATGTTTCTGGAGCAGCAAGTCAGCATATTAGAATGATTTCTGAAGGATCACGTGACACTGAAGACTGGAGGAATGATGCTGAGAATTCAGCTTTGATCACAGGAATAAATTACTAAAATATAATTTAATGAATTTTAAAATATATTCACATAAAATAATATTTATTTGAAATTATAATAATGTAATGTAATGTTATATGCCAAATATAGTCTCTTATTTCTTTGTGTTAATTTTGAGGTGAACTTTGACCTGGACATGTTCATGACAGGTTTCAGCTCACTCAGCTCTCTTGGGTTCACACACAAAGCACTACATCACAACATATTAAATAAACGTTATCTCTCTGAGGACTTTAGAGTCTAATAGTGAGTAAAAATGATAAATTGTTCCAAAATAGAAAATGAACAAAAACATGACCTTCCTTTAGACAGCATTACACTGACCTTAAATCCATCACCTTTCTAACGTTGTGAACTCACACACACTTAAACAACATCACTGTAATTCAATCCTCATGATGCACACTAATCACTTCAACTGTCATCTATACACAAATGAACACAATTATCCACGAGATGCATAACAGTCTGACAAAGGCCATTTCCACACATACCCTTTCAGAGCCAATTATTTGAATTCGGGATGAGAATCCATGAGTTTTTGATCATACGGTTCACATTAGTAGCTGGTCGCCCTGCATGCAATCTCAGACGTGGTATTAAATAACATTCAGGATGAATCACATTTCAAACTCAAGAGATGGAGTCTGAATCGAATTAGCGCTGGTCAGACGGCATGAGTTTCATGGTACTAATGGTCT